CGGCTCGGGTCATGATCTCACGGTTAGTGGGTTCGAGCCCCGCGTCGGGCTCTGTGCTGACAGCTCAGAGCCTGGAGCTGCTTTGGGTTCTGTGTCTCCCTCTCTCTCTGACCCTCCCCTGCTCACGCTGTCTCTCTCTCCTCTCTCAGAGAATAAATAAAACATTAAAAAAAAATTAAAGAAAGCACTATTAAAAAGTTCAAAAGCAGGTCTGTCCCATAATCGGGGGACTATGGAAGGAGGGAAATTTCTACTTCCAGAGGGGCGAGGTAGCCTCTTTCTCCCCAAAGAGACAACAAGCCCCTCCATCCATCCCCAAAACCCATTCTAGGTTTCCAGGGTCTTCGGAGACATCATTTTAGCTTAAAATCAGCTCTTTCTGCACCTTTTCTAAAGGGGTTTAAACAGACTCTTGTCAAAGGTACATCTTCACTCTCAAGATATTTCCGGGGTTTACTAAATGCTCCCTTGTGCTCAAGAGTCTGTAACCTCGACTGAAAAGCCATTTCAGATCTAAATGTTCAGAAAAGAGATGCAGGATTAACTTCACCCAGTTTCCCACATTCAAGTACGGCCGGTTTTCAGTCAACGTTAAAATGAAAGGCAAACCTATATACTTACTACAGCAATAGGAAAAAAAGTCAAGTTAACTGTTATTATAACATGGTTACCTCTCACTATTATCCGAGGCAGTGAGAGTCATCGTGGTGAAATACATTTTTATTTAAGTCTGTAGGTCAGCGCTGGTAAGTCCGTTCACACCGCTGTACAGCCACTCTCACCATCCACCTCCAGAACTCACTCACCTTCCCCGAAGTGAAACTCTGTCTGCTGGAAACACTAACTCCTCATTCCCTCCGGTCCCCCCACCCTACTATCTGACCCTATGAATCAGACTCTCTCACAGTATTTCTCTGTGTCACAGATTTCACTCAGCCTCATGTCCCCAGAGTTCATCCACGCTGTAGCCAGTGTCAGAATCTCCTTCCTTTTTTGGGCCAAAAAATAAGCCACTGTACAGATACATCACATTGCATTTGTCCATCCACCCACCAACAACCCACGTTGCTTCCACCTTGTGGCTACAGAGAGTAGGGCTGCTAGGAACATGGGTGGGCAAGTAGCTCTTTGAAATTCTGTTTCAAGTCTTCGGTGAAGATTCTCTTTTCTAACAAATATTTAATGAGCAGCTAGCTACCCTGTGCCCAGGGCCATGGAGACAAAGAAAATTGGGTACACATTCCAGATTTCAAACAGCTTTCTCGGGACGCCTGGGGGTGCTCGGTTGAGCGTCTGACTTCGGCTCAGGTCATTGTCTCATCTTTCATGAGTTCAAGCCCCGCGTCGGGCTCTGTGCTGACAGCTTGGAGCCTGGAGCTGCTTCAGATTCTGTGTCTCCCTCTCTGCCCCTGCTCACACTCTCTCTCTCTCAAAAAATAAATACACATTTAAAAAAATGTTTTTAAAGCCAGCTTTCTCTTCTATGAAAGTTTTCAGTTTCTGCCTAACTGACTGGAGGCCGGGTGAGGGCAGCACACGTAATCAGAGATTCATTATTTGAGGTTTACCCGCTGGATTAAAAGTTCAATGTCTAAGTCCTTTCCCCTGCCCGGCAACACACTCAAGAAAAAATAACTCCCTCTGTTTCATTACATTGTTTGTCAAAGGTGCCGTAGTCGATGTTAACAGTGTGTGAAGCACAGAGGACTGGGGACAGGGGCGTGAACTGCCTGTCACATAACCCACTCCTATACTGTGTGTGCATAAACAGCCTGGAACTCGAGTTAAAGCTCATCAGCCAAATGGGCTTGCCGGGTTAGCCTCTCAGGGTTTATTTTATGAAAACACACATCCAACATGATCACGAAGCACTTTGAAAGCAGAAAGTGTGACTTAAGTCCTCAGGATCACAAAGGCACGAAAGCCGTCTAGCAATGCTGATGATTCTACGGGACGAGGGACAGGGTAAGAATCCTGATCTTTGCTCACCGTGGAACGGGACCTGGCCTTTGTAACGACATCTTCTCAAAACCTAAAGCCTTAAGTCCATTTTGCATCATCTCTTTGCATGCTGTCTGATGGGCCCAGACCTGGAAGGTGTAAGACAGAAAGGCCACTGTTTTGGGTCTGCCGGCCTTTGCTAATTTCAAGCCAGCCATTTAGGAAACAGGCTACTTCTAGGTTTGTGAAAAGGCTTTGATAGGCTTTTCTTGTTAAACCCATGGGGGAGAAAAGTGTTTTAATAGGCATATGACGATCAAAGAGATCATTCTCCGCTAAAAAGATTTTTTTAAAGCCCTTCCAAGTAAATTCCTCTCAGAAAAGACATTAAATCTCCATTGATCTCCACATTTTTATGGTGTCCAGATATTTTGAAAGAATGCTAACCAAAAGAGAAATGACGGATGCCTCCCTCTTTTGTTTCCATGCCAGCAAAATACAGATATTTCCCTAATGAGGGTACAGAACAGCCCCAAAGAAATCTTCCAGAACATTCTAGAGGCGGGGGAAAAACAAAGACTTGGCTAAAAAGAACGCAACATACTAAACTTGACAAGATCTCCAACATACGTGTGAGAGTCCTTCTGTCTCACCTCCAAATGCCTTTGATGCAGCAAACTTAGAACGCCACCAATGCGCCACGTGATCAGCTTATCCTCCCCCCCCCCCCAGCCACCCCCCCAGGATCACTCCCACCTGCTTACACACAGGCTGTTCTATTTCCCACCCGGACAAGGGCAACAACCCACAACTGTCTTCACCTTAAAAACTCCTCCAACCACGGCCCCTGCGCTCCTGGAAGGGAAGCCCCTTGCAAGAGGTGACCGTGCTTGGGGCGCCTGGGAGGCTCCGTCGGTTAAGCGTCAGACTCCCAGTTTCGGCTCAGGTCATGATCTCAGGGTTCGTGGGTTCAAGCCCCACGTTGGGCTCTGTGCTGACGGTGCAGAGCCCGGTTGAGGATCTCTCCCTCTCTCTCTGCCCCTCCCCTACTACTGTCTGTCTCTCTCAAAAATAAATAAACTTAAAATTAAAAAAATAACAGAGGTGACTGTACTTATTCATGGCTTCCAAGCCCTCTTCTTCCTTCTCACTTGAACGGCTGGGGACAGCTCTTGTCCGCGTCACACGCCAAGACCAAGAGCGAGACTTCCTGTCCCCTGGCCACCAGGGGATTAGGACCTTTCCTGACTCCCCGCTTGCCCCCAGCTCCGGGACACGACCCCGTTCCTGTTCCTCTCCCATCCCCCGTTGCTCCTCCTCGGGTCCCCCAGCTGGTCCTCACCCCCCCAGCCGGAGCCCCGGGGTGTCTCAGGGCCAGCCCCTGGACCTCACCTCTGTGCCCAGGCTCACGCCAAAGGAGACCATATCTCATCTCACTGCTTTACGAGGCTGCTCTGCGCGAGTGACACTCCATCTAGGACCCCTGGTTGACCCCCACGTGCATGTCAGCTGCCGCTGAAGGGATGGCGATCCGGCATTTCCAAAACTAACCTGCTAAGTTTACCTCCTTGACCATGCAGCTGTCAGCCACACCGATGCCCCTCCCCCTTATCTTCCTAACACACCCGGCGTGCTGCACACGGGGCCTCCTCGGGCTCCTCCAACACGCAAGCACACATCCTTCTCAGGGCCTTTGTTCTGGCTGTTCTCCCTGCCAGAACGCCCTTCCCCGCATACCTCCCTCCCTCTCTCTTCAGGCCCCTGCTCCAGGGCTGTATCACTGGGGACCCCCCCACGCCCACCCACAGCACCCAGGAACACCCCCATGCCCAGCATGCCTTAGCCCGCATCTCACTCCACCTTCCAGATAGCGGCACATTTACTGGGCCTGTGTCTTCCCCCTCAAGGTAAGGCCAGATGTGCTATTACTGCCGGCTCACTGCTGTGTCCTCCGTGCCCCGGGGGGGGGGGCGGGGGGCACACATGTGTCAAGAGGCATCAAACAGCTGCTGGGTGTGTTGAGTCACGTGTGAGTTAGAGTAACTGCCTTACCAGTTAACCAAACCAGACACTAGCCTGGGTTTTACTGAGAAACAAAAACAGTAGAACTGAATCTAAGGGGTCACTGTTTTGTCCGCTGGAGTCACCCCCGCGACCACTATACGTAAGCTCCAACCCAGAGAAGAGAGCCTGGAATCCATATTTTTTTTTTTAATGTTTATTTATTTTTAGGAGAGAGAATATGAGTAGGGGGAAGCAGAGAGGGGGATGGGCAGACAGAGAAGGAGACAGCGTGAGCAGGGGAGGGTCAGAGAGAGAGGGAGACACAGAATCGGAAGCAGCTCCAGGCTCTGAGCTGTCAGCACAGAGCCCAACGCGGGGCTCGAACTCATGAACTGTGAGATCATGATCTGAGCCAAAGTCAGACACTTAACCGACTGAGCCGCCCAGGCGCCCCTGAAACCCATGCTCCTAACCAGGTCCCAGGTGACCGGCAATCAGCTGGGTATGGGGTGCGGTCCAAACCCTACAGAACCCAGAACCACCCAGAAATGTGCTGACATTCCTGCCAAACTCCTCAGCGACGGGACGCTTGCATCCTAACTTGTTAGAAGCCTAGAGTGTCTGTCTTAGCACATTCTTCCTTCCTCAGTTGAGTCTGACAAGTACTTACCGAGGACCTACCCTGCACAGGCACAGGGCTGCGCCGTGGGATTGGGTGTCTGTCCTCAGGAACCTTCCAGAAGGCTGAAGAGTTCACGCCCCCACCACCCCCCGACAGACCCACACCCCCATCTGCAGCAATGCCCTCCTCCATGGGGCGGCCTGCTGAACGCTGGAGTGGGAGAGTATGCCCTCCCCTCCCTAGAGCCTGCACGCCCCACCTCGGTGGCGGACGGGACGGGACGCACACCCCTCTGGAAGCCTCCAAACGCCAGTCATGTGACATGACTTCCCGCCCCTCGCCCAGCGTCCTAACTTCTCAGGGCCCTGTTTAAAGTCCACATCCAGCCTTCACATCACCTTCCAATCACCCACTAACCAAACATGTGACTATTGTGCTCAATTCGGCAGCACAAACACGAAAACTGGACTGATACAGACAAGACCCGCCTGGCCCCTAAGCAAGGATGACAGGCACATTCCTGAACTGTTTCTTATTTTTATTTTTTTATGTTTATTTTTGAGAGAGAGAGAGAGAGAGAGAGAGAGAGAGAGAGAGAGACAGCCTGAGCGGGGAAGGGGCAGAGAGAGAAGGAGACAGAACCCGAAGCAGCTCCAGGCTCCGAGCTGTCAGCACAGAGCCCGACGCGGGGCTCGAACTCATGAACTGTGAGATCATGACCTGAGCCAAAGTCAGACGCTTACCCGACTGAGCCACTCCAGTGCCCGTGAAGTGTTCCTTATTTTTACTACAAGGGATTAAGTGGACGTTCATCCTGATGGGCCCTGCGGAGTATATGGAATTGCTGAATCACTTTATGACACACCTGGAATGCATATAACCCTGTGTTAACTACGCCCCAATAAAGAGCACCTGACTCCCAATTTCCAGACGTGTCCACCGCACATCCATGCTAAGATACACACAATGCTGGATGACTATCCCCTCCGCCCATGTATCACAAATACCTGTGCCACCAATTCATAGTAAAAGCTGTCCTACGTGACTTCACTATTCCTCACCACACTAAAAACTACATAAAAGCCAACATCAGACAAAGATGGGATTTGTACCTGATAAAGGCTTAAACATTGAAATACAGGCTGCCCTGTCCAGTCAGGGCATGGGGCCGTTAGCATCCAGCTCAAGTTTTAAAGCCATCAACTTCTAGGGGCGCCTGGTTGGCTCAGCTGGTTAAGCGTCCAACTCTTAGTTGTAGGTCAGGTCATGATCTCACAGTTCTGTGGGATCGAGCCCCGCATCAGGCTCTGTGCTGACAGTGCAGAGCCTGCTTGGGACTCTCTCCCCATCTCTGCCCTTTTCCCCTGCTCATGCTCTCCCTATCTCTCTCTAAAATAAAGAAATAAACTTAAAATATAAACAATCAACTTCTATCTTTTAATGTTTTATTTATTTCTGAGAGAGACAGCGTGAGCAGGGGAGGGTCAGAGGGGGAGAGGGGGAGAGAGAGAGAGAGAGAGAGAAAGAGAGAGAGAGAGAGAGAGAATCTGAAGACAGGCTCCAGGCTCTGAGCTGGCTGTCAGCACAGAGCCCGATGCAGGGCTCAAACTCATGAACCTCAAGATCATGACCTGAGCTGAAGTTGGACGCTTAACCGAATGAGCCACCCAGGCGCCGCCACAATCAGCTTTTAGTATTAATCACTAACAACAACCCTAAGGGATGCTGGGCTTGCTGGTCTGGAGAATATAGATTACTGCCTGCAATTGCCAAAACTGACTCACACTTTCTCTCCTCCGCTGTCAGAATACATTGGCCTCAGAAAGGAGTGGGAACACATACTTGGGGAAGCCTTCCACCTCCCGATCTCCTGCTCTGATTTACACGAGAGCTCGCGGCCATGGCCCAGCACCCCGGCACACCTCGCGGCTCCCGCACAAAGCGGACGTTTGCACTGGCTTCTCCGTCTTAAATCTCCTCTCCCCGGAGGAGGCTGCTGCCAGGTTTGAGATCAATGATCCGCAAGACAGAGGCGAGACTGTAAGAGTCCAAGCCGAAAGCCTCACACTTAAGTGCCAGGCCTCGAACAAAATATGCCAGTCCTTCTGGCTTCAACTGCTCAGAAAGGCAGGCAGCTGGCCGGCCCTGGCCCCCGGATAACTGGCCATAAAAGAAGCCATCATTTTCTGATGCACCTGAATGTCACGTTTTCCCCCAAGTGGATATATCTTGATTTGTGAAAAATAAATAAGCTTCACTCTATTAATTGTGTTTCTCTTGGGCGCCTGGGAGGCTCAGTTGTTAGCATTCGACTTTGGCTCAGGTCATAATCTCAGTTTGTGAGTTTGAGCCCCAGATGGGTGAGCCCTTGCCCGGGGTGAGCGTGGATCTCTCTCTCCCGCTTTCGCTCTCTCTGCCCATCGTGGGATTCTCCCTTTCTCTCTCTCTCTCTCTCTCTCTCTCTCTGCCCCTTGCTCACTTGTGGCCCCTCTCTCAAAAATAAATAAATAAAATGTGTTTCTCTAAGTCTCCCGTTAGTGTGGTAAGAGCTGTATGTACCCTGACTCCTGCGGTTGCAGAGAGGCTCAGAAATCTACCCCGGGGAAGGGGGCGTGGCGGGACTCTGGTGCCCCCACCTGGCTCACAGGGAGGGAAGACGTGTTCATCTGACTTCACGGCTGGTGCGCCCAGAGCGTGGCTCATGTCCACCTACCCAACCCTCGTGCTGGGAGGTGTCGGGTGGGTTCTCAGAGCCACGGGCGCCCCGTCCCCAGTGCCAGCCACAGGGAGCGCCCACCTGCCGGCGTGAGCAAGACCACTGCCAGCCACTGAGGCCCCTCATCTCTCCTCTGCCACTGGAGAGCGACGCCACTTACAACACTAATCCACCATCCATGTGGCTGCAGTCCAATCACTTCACAGAAACGGGCAGATCTGGTCCTTGGGCCCTGTTGTGCCAACGCTGGTCTAGCGGGTACGAACGCCCCCTGGCGGTCCTCTAGTGCGGGGCCCCTTTGTGATGACCAAAGCCTACATCTCCGGAGCAGGGTCCACATTTTGCCCGCTGGAAATAAGCATCTTGCAGTAACAGCAAGAACGACATTAATGAAAAGACTTTTTTTTAGATGTTTCCTCCTCTTCTTGGGAGAGGCTAAGAATGACAAATTGCCTTGAAGAATAAGAATTTTTGTCTTAATTTTTATCTCAGAGAGAGAGCACACGAGTAAGGGAGAACGTTGGGGGGTTGGGGGAGAGAGAATCTTAAGTAGGCTCCACGCTCAACTCGGAGCCCAAAGCAGGGCTTGATTCCCACCACCTGGGATCATGACCTGAGCTGAAAGCAAAAAAGAATTGGGACATTCAATCCACTGAGCCACCCAGGCACCCCTAAAGTATTTTTTTAAATTATTAAGCTATTTTTTCACAAAAAATTTTGGTGGCACATCATTCAGAATGTTTTTGGCTGCAAGTAAAAACTAGATTTTAAATAACTCAAACGAGTAGGGATTATTCTCCACGTAGACAAGTGTCCAGAGAGAGTTGGTATTAGAGCAACGCCTCGAAGAAAATCAGCGTCAAATCTCTGCTGCTCCCCCCACCCCTGCGTCTCAAGGTCAGACGCTGGCTAGCTGTTGAGAGGCTTTCACCTTCATCCGCAGCAGGAAAGGCAGAAATTATAATCCCAGCCCTCCAGGAGACCCCGATTTCCGCCCCACTGTCCAAACTATGGGCTGAGTCACACAGGCCGAGGCAGGAAAACGCTGCAGTGCAGAGAGGAGAGGGCTGGGAAGCTCTTTTCGATTGGACCACCCACCAAAACTACCTCCCATTGGTCAAGTAACAGGGTCATTGTCACGGCCACGTTTCCAAAACTGGGCATGCACGTAAATAACAAAAACTCACTCCATACCCGGCCTACACACAACCTTCCAGTCGGTCCTTTAATGCTTCCCTTTCATTGATTTACTTTTCTAAGTAGGCTCCACGCCCAGCGTGGGACTTGAACTCACAACCCTGAGACTATGAGTCACATGCTCTAGTGACTAAGCCATGTGCTCCACCACTTCCCTTTTAAATATGAACAGTTAGGGGGCGCCTGGATGGCTCAATTGGTTGAGTGTCCAACTTCAGCTCAGGTCATGATCTCACTGTGAGTTCAAGTCCTGCATCGGGCTCTGTGCTGACAGCTCAGGGTCTGGAGCCTGTTTCAGATTCTGTGTCTCCCTCTCTCTCTGCCCCTCCCCTGCTCACACTCTATCTCCTTCTGTCTCTCAAAAATAAATAAACATTAAAAAATATTTATAAATATGACAGTAAGTCACTAATCCCCGGACATCTGAGGAAAGAAAGCCTCGGGTGTTTGACGCAGACCAGACGAGCCCCCTAAGAGAAGGAATCAGGGGCAGCAGAGAAGAGGCAGGAAGTGGGAAGAAAATCTCAAAAAAAAAATCGCAAGTGATTTCCTTAGAGAAATAGCAGATATGCCATTCTAAAACAAGACTAAACACATAAAAAGGAACATTCAGGGGAACAAGAAAGTGCTCTTGAAAGTGAAAGTGCAGGTGGCGGATGTGAATCTGCGCAGAAGCAAAGACAGAGAGGTGGGGGACAGGAGACCGAACCAGAAGGTCAACATCTGGGTAACAGTTTTGGTCGCAAACAAGGAGAACAGACATTTTACTAGACAATTTCTCAGAACGGAACATCCTGAGCTTCTAGACCAAAAAGAACACGTGCCCAACATTAAAAAAAAAAGCCAGCTGAAGGCACACTGCCATGAAATTTGAGACACCCAGATCTAAGAATACTGCATAGACTTTATCTCACGTAGTGCACTATCTTACACACAGTTTGCATACAAATAATCAGAAACCAGGGAGCCTGGGTGGATCAGTGGGTTAAGTGTCCAACTTTGGCTCAGGTCATGATCTCACAGTCCGTGGGTTCAAGCCCCCCGTCGGGCTCTGTGCTGACAGCTCGGAGCCCGGAGCTGCTTCAGATTCTGTGTCTCCGTTTCTCTCTGCTCTTCCCCCACTTATGCTCTCTCTCTCTCTCTCAAAAATAAATAAACATTAAAATATTTAAGAATACAATTAAAAAGGGGCACCTGGGTGGTTCAGTTGGTTAACTGTCCGACTTCAGCTCAGGTCATGATCTTGTGGCTCATGAGTTCAAGCCCCTCGTCAGGTTCTGTGCTGACAGCTCAGCGCCTGGAGCCTGTTTCAGATTCTGTGTCTCCCTCTCTCTCTGCCCCTCCCCTGCTTTCTCTGTCCCTCTCAAATGAATAAACATTAAAAAATTTTTTTTAAAGAATTGGTGTTATAGACAACATAAGCACACAGCTGGATGGTAAATTCTTAGGCATCGGTAAGCTTGTGGCTGCCACGAGAGTGTCAGGGGGTCAGGGACCTGACGCGTCCTGTACCCCTTACGACGCTGGCCTCGGACATCGCAAGGCACCTGGCACGCCGCAGTGCTGAAGTCTCAGGTTCAGAGCACTCCATCTTCAAAGGAGGTCTTGTGGTGGTTTTTAACCTCAA